GAACCCACAATTTGGACAAATTATTACATTTACTGGATTGGCAATAGCTCATTTTTTCCACACGTGAGAAAAGAGAGCGAAATGTATCATAATTACAGCTGCCTAGGATGTACGTGGGATGCTTCTGGAATGGGAAAATGGACTGTGATTGGCATTCCTATATCTTACCTGTCTTATCTTGGGCTATAACTTCTCTGTGAACTTTTGACCACACTAGTCCACTCCCTGTTCCCACATATTTTCTGTGTTCTCCAGCTTCTGAGTCTTTGTTCAAGCTCTTCTTTCTGGCTGATGTGTATATCTCATCAGATCCCTTTGACACTGCTCTTCAAACCCAAGCTCAAATCTAACTTTACAAATCCATGTCAGAATTCATCTCCCTCTTCTCAATATTTTCTTAGCACACTGTCTGAACCTGCCCTGTGTCACCCCTCACAGTCTGCTTGGTGGCAACTACCAATGTCCGACCGTAATAACTTCGTATAGCATACATTATACGAAGTTATCGGGATGGATACTTAAGTGGACCTTCTCTCACTTGGGAGAGATGACGTGTGATGTATCATGTACTTGAGAGCTTGGACTATGGAAAAAGATAGCCCTGCACCAAGATTATGGTTTTTCCACTCAACAGTGTGGCTCTTTATGTCACCAAATCTCCATTTTCTTGTCTACAAAATGGAGATAAGTACAGCGGCCATCTCAGAGTGCTGGCAAAAATGCACCACGCACAGTGCCTTCAGGATCACAATAAGGCATTGCTGCTACTATTACCGACTATGACTATTGTGATCACTACCACCGCTACCTGCCATTACTGCTGTCGTTTCTACTGTCACCACATGACCACCTATTACTATTGCCATTGCTATCACCTACTACTACTACTGCTGCTACTATTTACTATCACTGCTGTTCCTACTGTTACTTCTATTACAAAATAAACGTCTGCTACAAAGTAAACGTTTGCTACATTGAATTTCCATGGAATTACTCTAGACGTAGCAGAGTTGGCCAAGCCGTCTGGGATACAGCCTCCAAAGGTGAGTGAAATGTATCGAGGGGGACAGAAGCTATGGCCAGGGCTTCAGAATGTGGTTCCCAAGGAAGAAGAAATACCTGGAGGCTTCTCTGTAAAGAGCACAAAGCCTACTGGAGCTTGGTGCAGAGAGAAGGACAAAATGAAGGGGATTTTGGTTCTTTGTGCTACTGAGAATACCCTAAAAACCATATTTTGGACATTCTCAAGTGCCTCACATGTATTGAATGATGATGACCAGCAGTTGCACAGCGCCTGCCATGCTTTGTCTCTTTGATCCTTACAGGAACACTGAATGGTACATCCTATTATTTTTGTGATTTTATAGGCAAAAAAGACAGAAACTCTGAGATCATAATTTGCCAAGGTCAGAGAGCTACTGGCTGGTAGTGTGGAAATTTGACTATAGCTCTGCCTGAGTCCTCGACTCATGCTCTATAAAGCAGTGCATTATATTAATTCCTAACTGAATTTGGGTATCTTGTGGGGGCCAGGATGGAAAGACAAGGGAGTAAGGATAATTTCATTGTGTGTGTGTTGGCAGGAGGGGGGTGTCTTCACAAGCGTTCTTCAGTTCAGTGGTTCTCAACTAGGGGCAGTTTTGCTCCCAGGGGACACTGTATACCAGTTATATACACCTATACCTGGAGACATTTTTGGTTGTCACAACTGTGTGTCTCTGTGTGTGTGTGTGTGTGGGGACTGCTATTGGCATCTTCTGAGTAGAGACCAGGGATACTGCAAAACATCTGACAATGCACAGGACAGCTACCATCCACAAAAACTTACCTTCCCCAAATGTCATCAGTGCCTAAGCTAGGAAACACTGCTGTGTATTAAAAAGAGCCAATGCATACTGTTGGATATCTCTTGTAAACTTTGCCATCTAAATATTGGTTATCATCCAAAGCCTGATGATCCACTTTCTGGTGGCCTGATGTGGCTGACTCTGTTGATGCACCACTCATATCCTGCAAGCACTCTCTGTTACAGCATAGTAACCCCAATGGGTTCCTGCTACAGCTGCTGTGACTCCATACTTAAGGGCTTTCACTTAGCCTATGTGAGGGGCAGGGTGGAAGTGCTGAGGGTTATCACCTCCAGGAAAAAGCAGCTCACTTCCAGCAATAGAAGGGAGTTGGATGATAAGTGCCCCAGCCACCTTGCCCCTTGGATAGAACAAGTGCCCTATGCTGTCTCCTAGAAGTCCCTGGTGGAACTGACACTCTGTTGCCTACAACTGTGATCTGCTTATGAATGCACCTTGCATTGACTTACTCTCCTTTTCCCCTCTGTCTCCTCTACCAGTGCTTCCTGGACCCTCCCCCACCTAAGATAAACTACTTGTCCTCACACCCTTGACTCAAGGTCTGTTTCTGGGGAAACCCAACCTGAGATACTTGGGTCACAGGATAAGACTAATAACCCGACTGGAGGTGACTCTGTCCAAAACCTGGATCTTGCAAAAGCTTCCAAAACAAGCAGGTAAAATAGTCCAGTTTCTAAACAACTTGTGAGTAACTTAATGGGTGTGGGAAGCTCTACCATTTAGCCATGCAGTAAGGAGGACCCCAGGCGCTATGTAACTGTACCTCTTAAACTCACACAGAACAACAATACTATGAAATGTTAGTAGGTGCCTTTTAGAGGAAAAGGTTATATAATCAAATAATTGTGTTAAACTTTAATTGAACAAAGCTAAACAAGTTTCTTTATATTAGGATTTCTCTGAGCCTTTAATGTACTTATACATGCTATGACTCTCTAAGAAGGAGCAACATGTTGGCTAAACATTTTTGACCACGAACTTCTTTGTCCTTTTGTTAAAAGACATCCAAGTATTACCAAGGCTTAGAAGGTTTTCTGAATGTTGTTTTCTGCCCTAATCTCCAGCCTCATCTCACTGTCCCCCCCCCACACCTTAAATTTCACACTTTAGCAAAAATGAATTATTTGTACCTCTCTGATATTCCTGTGTTTCACCCCTCTGTGCCTTTGCATGCTGCTCTCCCTACTACCCAGAATGTCTCTGTCAATTCCTTCTGTCATCTTGGAAAACTCCTATTCATCCTCTAAAGCCCGATTCAAATATTACCTCCATATGAAGACTTCCTCTGTGATTTCAATATATCTTCATTATATACTTCTAAGTTGCCTCCTAAGTATTTTGTTCCTTTGCTGTTTTTTCTACCAGACTGACCACTCCATGAATGCAATGCCAACATGCTTTTCTCTGAGCTTCTTCAGTTATAGCATAGTCTCTGACATATAATAACTTATTAATGAGCACTTTCAGAATTAAGTTTGACTAGATCATATTTGTGAAGTTGATATATTTGACCTTGAATTAAACTTACTCAGCATGCTAAGAGGGAAATAAAAGTGGTGGCATCCTCCTGGTAACCATTAAACAAAGATTTGGCTCAGACAGAGTAACTCATGACAGCCACAAACAATTTTCTCTTTAAAGACAACAAGCACTTTGTCTCTCTGGAGCAGGAAATAAGGCCACATATGGGATTACTGGGAAGTAAGTAAGAAAAGTCAGACCTACCTCCAGGGCTAGCAGATGATGTGGATGCGAGAGGGTCCTTGAGTGGTCCCGCGGTACCTCCGCGTGCTGCTTCATTGGGTATCTTTGTGATGCGTTCCACAATGCCATCGGTTACTGCAGGTGAGTACTGGGAAGTAAGTAAGAAAAGTCAGACCTACCTCCAGGGCTAGCAGATGATGTGGATGCGAGAGGGTCCTTGAGTGGTCCTGCGGTACCTCCACGTGCTGCTTCATTGGGTATCTTTGTGATGCGTTCCACAATGCCATCGGTTACTGCAGGTGAGGGTGAGAAAGAAAACTGGGGTAACTCATCTCATCTAGAACGAGGGCATTGTCTCAATGGACGCACTTCACCGACTATGCAACACTCCTCTTTTCAAGTTCTTCTGTATGAACTTGAGCCGAGCTACATGCCATGAGTGGCCACACCTGTCTGTAGATCCATCCATCCACCCATAGGTGTATCCATTCATCCCCTTTCCTTCATCCCTAGATCTGACCATCTATTCTTCCATCTTTCCTTCCATTCAACCATTTCTCCATTCTTTCTTTCATTTATTCATCTGTGTAGTAACACTTCTATCTTCTCATCCCACTCATCACTTGCTAACTGAACACCCTTGACTCAGCTATGGGGCCATGTTTTAAGACTTGGATCGATGGCCACCAGTGTGTCTAACTTTATCATGAATCGTTAAAGCTAGTGGAGGGGAAATCAAATCATCCTCCTGTAGATATTGTCCAGTGAAGAAGCTACTGGAGTGGTTGGAGGGGCCCTTTGGACTTGTGTTCAGAACAAAATTTGGGGCCAAATCTAACCCTTTCAGAGGAATGGAATCCCAAAAGGTTCCTTGCCTCATCTACTGATCTCTTGGAACTAGTGTTTCTCCTCCTAGGCTCTGGGTCCCTTCCACATTCTTAGGTAATTTGTTCCCTCAATTTTCATTCATTCACATTTTTCTTTCACGTATCCCTTGCTTTTGACTTTAGTATAGAAACATGCTCAATCCAAAAGGGGAAACGCTCCCCTGTATTTATGCACTGTTTGAGCTGTTGTCCTAGTCTCCTGCATCTCTCTGATATTCCTTCACTACAATCCCTGAGGACCCTCCTGTTGCCAAAGCACTTATCACCTCCTTTCATCTTGGCTATTCTGTAATATTTGATAGAACTTACCATTTCTTCTTCCTACAGCCGTCCCATTCTGTGGCTTCTGTGATGCCAGAATCCCTTGCTTTTCCTGCCACCTCTCTGATCACTCCTGCTTAGCCCAATGATTAAGAGCATGGATTCCTAGTGCAATGTAGCCTGAGTTCTTATCCTAGTTCTGCCACTTACTAGCTTTATGACCTTGAGCAAGTTACTTACCCTCTCTGTGCCTCAATTTTCTCATCTGGAAAATGGGCTTATAATAGTCCTTACTTTGAATAGTGCTACAATGAAGATTAAATCACTTAATAAAACAGCACTTGACAAAGAGTAAGTGCTGTATAAGCATTTGTTTTTATTATTATTACCATCATTATTATCTTTAGTAGTAATATGAAAGCACCTATGGCACCATAATTATTCAACTACTTGCTTATTTTTGTTTCCCCAGTGCCTAGCCTAGAGCCTGGAACTGAAGTTAGATCAACACATGTTTGCTAAAAGAGTTTCTGGTTGCAGGAATAAACTCCTAATTAACTCCTTTTTACCTCTTAGGAAAGGGCCATTTTCTATGAGCTCCCAAGAATGGGAAAGTAGGAGCTATGGGGTCCTTACTTGTCAACTGAGTTGAGTGTGGAGGGGCATGAGAAGCACTTGTTACTATTCCCAAGTCAATACCCTCTGTCATGCTGGTATCTGAAACGAATGATAAAGATGTCTTGACTGGCTGGGGCCAGTTCTCCGAAGTACTGAATGTAACTGTGGATCCTACAGTAGTGCTGCTCTCTGTCCCAAGACTGGTATCCACTGTATGTGGGGTAGCTGGAGAGGAAGTCATCTGATGGAGGACTGTGCTGGTTGAAGAGCCAGTGGTATTGGAAACTGAAGAGGGGGACAGTGTTGGAGCTGATGAAGTTAGGCTCTCTTCAATGGCAGATGTAGTAGTGTCCTCAGGACTTGGTTCTGTCCTAGAGTTTGGACTGCTTGAAAAGGTAGCTAAGCTGGCTTCTGGAGCTTCGGTCATGGGAAATGAAGCCATGGCTTCTGATAGAGAAGGCAGCAATGTGTCAACCGAAATGGTCTCAGCAGAAGGCAGCAGATCTGTGCTCAGGTGATGAGCACTTTCTGACGTAGGGGTTGTAAGCTGGGATTTGGGAGAGGAGGTTACCCCAGTGGGCTCTATCACAGGTGGAGAAGCATAAGAGTGGGCGATTGTTTCCACTGGGATTCTGGCATACTGTGAGGATGAAGGCTGGTCTGGGACTGATATTTTC